TATGTATGGTCCATGAGAGAAATTTCCTAAAATCTGTCTGTGATTTCCCATGGGTAGATAGCTACATTTCAAGATTTCATAGTAATGACCTTGGTTACATTCCTTAAATTAGCTAGCATTCCCTCCCACTTCACTACAACCTAAAACCAAACTCACTGTCATTGAGAAGATAGGGTAGCGTGGTCTCTGTGGGTTTCCAAAACTGGTAACTCTTTAGAAACCCTCATCTTTTCCTGCTGAGTGGCTGGTGGTTTTCAACTGTAGCCCGAAACACAACCATTACATGGACCAGGACTCCCCATTTCACAAGTTATCCCCAAGTAAACATAGGTGATAAATGAAAGCAGCATTTTTGCTATATACAGCTGACTCCCAACCAGATTGCTACTGCCAAGCTTCTCCTGTATAGACATGACGAAGTTGTCACATTCATCTACAATGACACCTGTGTGCTGAAGAAACCTAGCACACACCGCCCTTCACAGAGGTTCCTGGAGGCTGGAAAATTAAAACAGCAGTCGCGTGGCCTTTTATTAAGCAGTGGTCCTTATCTTTTGGGAATCTCATGGTGAAAGTTTTTTCCTCTGAACAAGACTAGACAAAATAAAACTTTGCAAACCATTTACAGAAGATGGAGGACCTCAGGAACATGTTTCTAGAACCATGGGGATTCACAGATGCCAAGATCGACTCCTCTGTGGCACTGGAGAAAAGCCAGAGCAGGCGAGGGCATCGGCGTCCTTCTCTCCCTGGACTCGGATGAGGCCTGTGTAACACAGGAAACAGTTGCTCTTCCTCCTCCTTTCTTTGCTCTTAAAACTCAACCCCTTGGCCCAGGATGTCCCTGGGTCTCACCAGTTGCTGTTTGGTCCTACGTGTGACCGCTTCCAGAGAGAATCTAGTCAGTTCTGCTAAAATGTGATCTCTGTGTTCCTGAAAGTGATCACACTCTGCATACTCACACACACATGTGCGCAACCGGACATAGTGATACATTTAAACCAAACAGGAGAAAAAGAAGGCACAGCATTAAAAACAAGTGCCAGAGCCCAGAAAAAAGCAGATGGGAACCTAACAAAGAAAGGTATGTTGTGCACATGCTGACTGGTTAAGAAGTACATACATGCTACAATAAACATGGTCCCATGCCCAGAACCAGTTCTGACGGTGGCTCACGGAGGTGGGTGCGAGAAGGACTGCTGCTTGCGAGTTATCGAGAAGGGGCGAAAGGAAGGTGATCGGGGACGGAAAGCTGTAAGGATGAGATTTGGACGGGTGTGACTTCATAGCATACGTGGTGAACTAAGTAGCTGGTGGAGGGTGTGTGTGTGTGTGTGTGTGTTATTCCTGTGTAGCTCCATTGAGCTGAGTCCAGTTATTTGCATTCATCAGATGGTTCTTGCAGACTAAGTCACACACAAGCAAACACATTTTGGCACATTCAGGTAGTTCCTTTATAGATCAATCATGTTAGAACAAGTTCACATTTTGAAATAAGCATTATATCAAACCTGATTATATTGAGATTATTAAAAAGATCATAATTTAAAAAGTAGAAAGTCATTAAAATCTCAAAGAAACAACATAGTAAAGGTGTCAATAAGGTTACTATGTGTAAGCAGAGAATAATCTACTTTGTCTACATAACTCAAGGCAATCTGAACTCCCTTACTCTCACTCTAAAGCCCAGGTGGACAGAGTGATAAATTTAAACAAAATACAAATTGGCTCCATCACTTTGAAATACCCAATCAAGGCTCAACGAAGTCTCCCTGAGGACAGAAAGAGATTATGACAGCACACTCCAGACTCCCTAGAAAGTCCTCGTATATATTTTATCCCTCAGGTCCCGCCCCATGGGGCTACTGCCCCAATCTGGCTCCTCTCTCTTCTTCACACTTCCGTGACCCTACTTGCTGGTTGTTCCCAACACTCCCAGCAGGCAAGCTGCTCATTCTATTTGCATCAGCCCTTCCTCTCTTTCCCGCTTTTGCCTCTTTTTTTTTTTTTTCATGAAAGAAAATTCATTAACCAGCTTTATTAGTTTTCTATTTGTTTCTGTAAAAAATTACACACATTTAGTGGCTGGGAACCACACAAATGTATGCTTTGATGGGGAACCCAGGTGCTGTGGTGGGTTACATATTAGGCTGCTAACCCCAAGGTTTAAACTTTTTAACCCCAAGGTTAAAGTTTAAATCACCAGCCACTTGGAGGGAGAACTACACCTGTAAAGAGTTTCTACACCCCTAACGAGTTAGAGTCTCAGAAGTCTGATCTACTCTCTCCTATAGGGTCTGTGGCATCAGAATTTATTTGATGCCAGTGAACTTTTTGGTTGTGTTTTTAGTTCTGGAGGCAGAAATCCAAAATGAGTTTTATGGGGCTAGGCTTCAAAGTTCGCAGGATGAGGGAGAATCTATTCCTTGCGTTTTCCAGGGTGGTTGGATAAGGATTGGATGGCTAGCCTGCAGGTCAGTTCTTCAAACCCACCAGCCCCTCCTGGGGAGAATGATGAGGCTATTTGTTGTTGGTAAGATTTATAAGCTTAGAAATAGCATGCAGGGCGGCCGTAGGTAGGATCAACTCTGTGGCAGTGAGCGTTTTGAGAGACTACATGCCTTGATGTGACCGTGCCTCTGTGCCACATCACTCTGACATCCGCTTCCATTGTCCGATTCCCTTCTTTGACTCGGACCCTCCTGCCTCCCTGTCACGAGGACTCTGTGATTACCTTGAGACACACAGATAATCTTGTCCTCCCAAAATCCTTAATTCAATCCTATCTGCAAACACATTCACTGTTTCCTAGGATAAGATGTGCAAATCTTTGAGAACTTTTATTCAGTTTGCTACAGAGGATGACATTCAAAATATGTCGCCATCATGATGCCATTTGTGCCAGAGGTGTGACTCTCAGAAAGGCCCTACATGACAGTGCTGGGGCAGCACGCTGGAGGTCCTTGGTGAGCTGGTTGGTTAAGTCTAGTTGATTGCTTGGGGAGGACTGGTGTGTCTGTGGGCCCACGGCAAGGCGCTCTGGGGCTGGCACGCAGCAGCGATGCTAAACAGTACAAAAGGCTTTCAATGGTTTTCACGTAGAGCCGCACCCACGTGTTTTGAACATGGGCCTGCCCACTCTTCCTTCCTTGGATCAGCTTAGCGCTTCCGCATTTCTACAAACACTCATCCCAACCTTCAACCAGGATCAGAATTCAAAACTTTGGGGACTTCATCTAGTTCTGTACTTTGCGTGAACGGCTTATTTAAACCTCACAATAAATCTATGCATATGTATTCTACTTATCTTTCTTTTACAGTAACATACTCAAGGTCATAGAATTTGTTAAGTGTTAGGACTTGCAGTGGAACCCAAGCACTTTGCTTTAGAAATTCAGTTCTTCACCCCTGTGATTCATGTCTCACAGAGACTGAAATCTACTTAGGCAGGGCAGACCAGGAGAGACCATGCAAGGCAATCATGAAGTGCCAAGTGGTCACCCCCCAGTCTTTATGAGTTCATCGGTTTATGCCGAATACTCCCCTGTAGAATTAAATTGCTGTAGAAGGAATCCAAACTTCTTGGTTCCATTGTAAGAATTATTTATTTCTACACTATGAGATCAAATCTGTATACTCTTGAGTGACTTTTTATGATAAAAAGATTATAGCCAACCGTCAGACTAATCAAGTACAAATTCCAACTTTTTTTTTACAAATTCCAATTTATCTTGACTACACAACTTCTTAGAATAAAATATTGCTCTAAGCATACGATTAAGCAGATGAACCAGTCAATTGATCAAATCTATAGCCAAGAAGGGTTTTGCTTTTCTTTGGGTAAGACTTGACTGTGATACAGATGCTGCAGCCTCTCTTAATGGCTAGAGCATTACCTTAAACTTTCTCAAATGAGTGAAGACTCACAGACACAAGAGAAGCAGAAGAGAAACAGATAAAGCCGCCTCTTCTGTTGGAGTCTTTTACGAACCTCTCCTTGATCTGAAATACAGTTAGAAATGTGTTGATCGTCCTGAGGGGAGAAAAATACTATGCATAGAAAAATGTAACTCTACTTAGAGAAAGATCATTTACAGGTATTTATGGTTTTGTTATTTGAAAATATTTTCAGACAGGAATGAGTATTAGAACTCTTCACCCACTTACCTAATATACTATAGAGAACATACTGACATTAGGAGTTTTTTGCTTTATTTATTTTTAGTGAAAGTGTAATGAGATCAAGGGTAGGGGAGGTGAATATTCCATAAAGTCCCTTAGAATTATTTATGATATTTGTGTACCAGATTGTAAAATGAAATGTGAGAAGCCGAGATTAATTTTATATAAAGGGGCTTTGGTGAAGAGTGAGAGGCAAATGGGAATGCATGTCAGTTGAAACTAACCTAAACTATTATTGCTAATTTGAAAACTATAGCACATATTCACTTCCTAACAGTGAGCCTCCCCTCTGACCTTTACGATGGAATTCGGGCTAGTCTCCGCGGTGACTCTAAGAACAGCCTGCCAGAAAGCACATGCTGCCTCTTTACTCATTATTGCGGGGCCCTTATGAGTGTGCATCTTGCCTGTCAGGTAAGATACTAGGGGAAGAAGCTAGAGAGATCAAAGTGTTTATGTTTACTTCTTTGAAGTTTTGTAGCATCTACTGTGTACTGTGCACACCTCTCAACTCATGCTGAAAATTGGAATTCACCCATTTGTCTCTTTTTCCTGTCTAAGGTGCAGATGGGGCATATTTCGTTGACTCCATCAATCCCTGCCCCCACGCATAAGCACAAGCACACGTATTCACAGCCAGTGGAAAAGAAAAAAGAGTTACTCACATTCATCCACTTTACAAAGATTTCCAGGCTGCAATGGGAGGGCTTTACCTCTCCCTGAAGGATGAATAAATAGGTAGCTGTAGTGACAACTGTTCACACTCAAACTGAAGTGAAAACGAGAAGAGAGCAAGTCTTCTTCTACTGCTGGCATCTATGGGACGGAGTTCTGGCATCATGGGAAGGAGAGTCTTCTGCCTGATGGTCATCTTCTCTGGGATAGTGGCCCACAAAACAAGCTCCAAAGAGCATGATCGTTTGATGATTAGAATGCTTCAACTCATAGATATTGTTGATCAGCTGAAAAATTATGTGAATGATTTGGTAAGACAATTCTTATCATAGCAAAATTCAAATTGATTTCACTAATATATAAGAAGCCTTTTGATTATAAAAATAACTCAGAATGATTTTTCTCTCTAGGACCCCGAATTGCTGCCAGCGCCACAAGATGTTAAGGTAAGAACAGTTTAATTTATTTCTACAACTGTATTTGATCTCAGTTTTTAAATCCTGCTAAGAAAAGCATTAACATGACTATTTAGGAAGGTTTGGGGTTTTAATGAGTGTTTTCATAATTGTTAGACTACTTATTTCTATTTTGTTAATATTCATTGATTCACTAGTAAATCAATCAATAAAATACTTTACTACTTTTCCCACAAAACACATATTTACCTTCAAGTATCTCTATAAGAATACTTTCCAAGTAGTGCTTCTGAGACAAAACAACATTTTTAAATTAATCTACACTGTAGCCAGGTTCTGAAAAATGAACAAACTAATTATATTTCAAGATCCTCTGAACAAGAAAGCCTTGTGTCTTCTTTGTGATTCCATTAAATAATTACATGCCTATCTTAAGAAGCAGAATTCATCCTTCAATAGCAAACTGGAAAAAAATAATAACAAGGGAATTCGGTGCAAAGAACACCATCCAGAAAGAATATAATTGTACAACCCTTAGCTCAGTAAGTCTTACCCCTTGACTTCCGCAAGGACCATTTGAAAGAACATTTTCTAGAACTCACCCCATTCTCTCAAGCCATTTAAATCCATTGGAGTCCCAGGAAGATAGGCCCAGCAGATAGGTCAAGGGAGCTGTGTGCTGATCTCTTCCCCTATAGCTTAGCTCTGGTCTTCTAGCTAAGTACACTGAAGGTTGAAGTGCAATTAGGAAAATGTTTTCATTGTCATAGACTTTTAACCACATTAATAAGAATAACTATAAAAGCGCTACCAGTAATGAGGATACTACAAAGTGGGAGACTTAGGGGGATGCATTGTTAAGAAAACAATTATGGTAAATGACTGCTTGTAAAAGTTTAGAAAGTGAATGAGTCACAACTATTGCTTTTCTTTAAAGACTCGCTCTCTAAGTCTGAGCCTCACCACTGTCATTTACTAGCCCCGTACTAATAAGCATCATCTAAAATGAAAGTAGCACATTCAGTCTATTGGAAAGACTTTTCCAATAAGTGAGACTATTTCTTAACCATTATGCCTAATTACCCAAACATACCTTTTGTAGCCTCTCACCCACCTTGTCTAACTGCTATAGTTAGAGTTCTTGAGTTTCCTAGCTGTAAAGTTCCTGATTCCCTTATTACAAGATAAGACGTAGGAAGGATATTTCATTGTCTAACTTGATTTCATTCCCGTGGGCACTTCCTTTATAGACTTTGTTAATGAAGTATATAAATATTACAACATAGTGAGAGGAGTTTGTCTCCGTGACACTGTATCTGATACAAGCATTGTTGACTATAAGAATAATGGTATAACTAAGATCTTTAAGACATGCTGGTAGGCAAACTCAGGGAGGATGAACCGATTCAAGGCCACATCAGTATTATAACAAACATCAGAGTGGGGTCCATTTGAAACCTTCCGATTACTGAAAGTTTACTGAAAGTAATAATGATAAGGATAATTGCATTCACATGGCGAGTTTCTCAGATCTTTTATTGACCTCATTAGGCCTTTGCTTTGCTTCTTCTTCCTCTTCTTTTTTTTTCCTAATTATATAAACAAGCGGGTATCATTTGGTGGTGATGCTGCCTCCCCGGAGATCTTTGGCATCATCTGAAGAAATTTTAGGTTGTCACAATTAGATTTGGGTAAGGATGTGTCACTGGTATCTAGTGAGCACAGCCCAGGGATGTTGCTAACCCTTCTATAATGCCCAGGAGCTACACCTCCCCCACCAGCACCCCCCCCCCCCAAGACTTATCTGATCCTAAATGTCAATACTGTCACTACTGAGAAACACTGGTAAAAACCTGTTTCCTTTAGAAGGGAAACACATTGTCTCAGAGAACGGAGAGGTGAACAGAACAGGATCAAAGCTTTCCCTCTTTGTTTAGCCAAATGACTTGTGCCTTTGTAATGTGGGACAAAGGTACTCTTCCTTGTCCCGTTAGCAAGGCATCCCCCTGTGCATGGCTAGGGCTGTCTTTGCAAAAGACAACCACGTGAATAGGGTAGAAATAGGCTTTCAAGAGGACAATATTTTCAAATGCTCCATCGCAAAGGTGCAAACTCAAGATTTGCCTCCTTGCAACAGAGGCTCTAAGGAAAGGGCTGAGCGGTTTGTTCCTCTTGCTAAGGACTTCTTCACTCCCAAGATTCTCCAAAACTACGCAAGACCGAAGGCTTCCTTGTATTGCCCAGTGGGAAAGGATGGAAGACACCAAAGCCTTGCCCTCAGTTTCTGCAGGCACCCAAGAACAGCAAAGGGAAACAGTGGCTCTGCTCCTCGATTCTGTTGCCCATGCATCCGCGGTCACCTCCTAGGGACAGGGATCCAGGATCAAGATCACCCTCTTTGCTCCCCTTCTCCACACCTGCTTAAGGCAGCTGGGAGAGATAGCTCCACCCCTTCTTTTCCCCTTCGATCTGCATCTAAGACCAAATCCAGCAGACCCTTGTCATGAACCTCAGGTGTCCAGGAAAAGCGCTGCCTGCTGGTAGGGACAAAGCAGACTGAAAGACAGGTTTCAGATGCCTCTGAACACAGGTAAAGAGGGAAGGCACAGCCCAAACAGTAAGGGCTTCAATGGCCAAATGCCATTCAGAGACTTTCAAAATGTCTGACGCAGGGCTAACATTTCTGACCCCTGATCTTGACCATCCAGGGCACTATTCTTGCACTCCGCAGGGCCCCTGTACTTCTTCTGAAGCTACTTTTCTTTCGACACATACTTGTAAATGTTAACTCAGCAAAATGAGCCTCGGTGAGAAATGCTGGTTTCTCAGATCATCACAGTTAGTGTTTTCAGTTTCAACTGGAAAATTTACCTTTTATATATATGAATATTACTTTTTTTCCAGTAAGTTAAGCCGGTTGTGGTCAAAGAGGAGAGAAAAGAAAAAACTTCAACCAATATGAACATGTGGTTTTCAAGGAAACAAAAGTGCTACAATTAACATTTATAAATAGTTTCTATTAAATAAGCATTTTGGCAAACATGGGAAGGACATCACCTTGCCCTTATGAGCGGCAAGCTGCTCTGATAGAAGGAAACCGGATAAGTTGGGTCTCGGCTTGTGGCTACGTATGCAAAGCAAACCTGATGATTTTGTGCGTTAAAGATGCATGTTATTAATCAACATTCATATTGGGTAAGAATATGGGTTGGAAAATGCAACGCAGGTAGCAGATGCTAGTTTCAGCTGATTGTCCCTGAGAGGAGAAGGATAATATTGTAATTACTAGCACCGCCCTGGGAGGGGCTGGGAGGTGTTGGGAGGGGCTGGGAGGGGCTGGGAGGGCTTGAGGTTTCTCGTTGTATGGCAGTGGCTTCTCTACCCATTAGTGAAATCGAGATCTAGCAACTGCAAGAAGAACATAATGTCAGAGACACACATTTACTGAAAGAAGAAATTAACTAGGTTATACGTTCTTAGATCAGTTGTTTTTCAAATCATGTTATTAAGGGGGGGTCTTACAGTTCCTATCACAATCCATACATCCATCCATTATGTCAAGCCCAATTGTACATATGTTACCATCATCATTTTCAAACCATTTTCTTTCTACTTGAGCCCTGGGAATCAACTCATTTCCCCCCTCCCCCACCCTCTCTCATGAACCCTTGATAATTTATAATTTTTTCTCATGTCTTACACTGACTACTGTCTCCCTTCACCCATTTTTCTGTTGTCTGTCCCCCTGAAAGGGGGTTGCATACAGATTATTGTGATTGGCTCCCCCACCCCACCCCACCTTCCTCTTCCCCTCCTGGTATTGCTACTCTCATTATTGGTCCTGAGGGGTTTATCTGTCCTGGATTCCCTGTGTTGTCAGCTCTTATCTGTATCAGTGTACATGCTCTGGTCTAGCCAGATTTGTAAAGTAGAATTGGGGTCATGATAGAGAGGGGGCGGGGGAGGCAGAGAGGAAGCATTAAAGAGCTAGAGGAAAGTTGTGTGTTTCATCAGTGCTGTATAGCACACACTAAAAAACAAACGAACTCACTGCCATTGCGTGTATGCTGACTCCTATCATCAATACTGCACCCTGACTGGCTCATCTCCAATTGTCTACAGATGGGCTCTGGGTCTCCACTCCATGCTCCCCCTCATTCACATTGATATGATTTTTTGTTTTGGGTCTTTGATGCCTGATACCTGATCTCATTGACACCTCATGATCACACAGGTTGGTGTGGCTTCTTCCATGCAGACTTTGTTGCTTCTCAGCTAGATAGCCGCTTGTTTACCTTCAAGTCTTTAAGACCCCAGATGCTATATCTTTTGATAGCCAGGCACCATCAGCTTTCTTCACCACATTTGCTTATGCATCCACTTTGTCTTCAGTGATCATTTTGGTAAGGTGAGCATCTTATATCAGTTTTTTAATGTTTTTAACATTTTGCTGTTAAAAAAAAAATCCATTTTCTATGCAGTTTGACTTCTAAGATTTTTGGCTTCTCCTGATGTGTCACTGCTTATATGGCCAAGCCAGGAGAAAATCTTGGATTTGTTCTGTTCACTTCTCCATTCTTTGAGAGACTGCTCTTCCATTCTGAAGGAACTGTCTTCCTTCCCTTGAATGAGCAAGTCTCAAATTCTATTCTTTGACTGCTTGATTCAGGCTGGGTCCTACCCTAACTGACCTAAGTGTATGGATAGATTCTAACTAAAGTCACTTCTGGCTTCAGTGGCCCTAGTAATTATGAGTTGGGCCGCTAACTATATGGTCAGCAGTTCAAAACCATCAGCTGCTCTAAGGCAGGACAGAACTTTCTGCTCCCATACAGAGTTACAGTCTCAGAAACCCACAGGGGCGGTTCTACCTGTCCTGTAGGGTGAATAGGAGTCAGCATACGTTCAATGGCAGTGAGTTTGTTTGCTTTTTAGTGTGTTCTTTCACAGGTGTATTGGATCTGTTGTATACCATCTATCTCGGCCCTCAGTGCTTTGTTAGGAATAGAGAACTGTGAACGAGTGAGGCTTACCTTAAGGTAGAAGTCCCCTACCTTAAGATGGGGCAATTTCCCATGAAGGAACCTCCATCTTTTCAGTCCAAGGATTAAATAGCTGGCACATGATCTGACGAGTGTGATTAAAGACCATGTAGCAGAGGTGGGGAGAGAGGACTGGGAATGTCATTTTTACTTTCTGAATAACTGTCATTAATAAATGCCTATCATTTCTCTTCCAGAGACACTGTGAGCAGTCAGCTTTTTCCTGTTTTCAAAAGGCCCAACTAAAGCCATTAAATGCAGGCGACCATGAGAAAATAATCAATATGGGAATTAAAAAGCTCAAGAGGAAACTACCTCCTGCAAATGGAAAGAAGAAACAGAAACGCTCACCGGTAAGATTGTCATCTGTCATTGCTCTTGTTTGTACCTGCTAGCCATATTAATTTCATAATGCACACAAAGGTACACACCTATCTTTGGCAGGAGCCTTAGTACCTTTCTTACAGTTACGTAGTGAATTTTGACAAGCGGGGGGACATTTCTTCAAAGTCTACAGACTTGAAAGTGCCCAGAATCACATTTAAGTAGCTGGCAGAAGTTCATGTAGCATCCTACATGAGTTCCTACGGTGAGGAACTCATTAGCTGGAGAATCTGATTGTAATTTAGGAGAGAAGAAATATTGTCCTTATTATGTAGTCAGTTACATATAACTTGTGCTCTTCCTAATAGAAGCTAGATCCTAGTTTTCCTATGAAAAGAGACAGCCTGTAAGAGACCAGGATAAATCTCCAGCTTTGCTCTTCCCCCACAGACCACTACTTTCCTGCCCAGAAGCAGAGTCGGCGCAGAATTGAAATAGATAGATTCCGTTATCTGGCAGGGGATTATCAATAGATCCTGTTTTTTGGGCCCCTGAGCCTTTCTTATTCATTTGTTCTTATGCCAACCCATGAGCAATGCCAGTACTCAGTGGACAAACAATGTAAAATAAATTATTCCACTTAAAAAAAATCAATCCTCATTCCTCCAAAGAATTTCCTTTATGATTCAAATAAAATTTAAATCATATTATCAAAATGTTTCTTATTTCTTTTGGGTGCTTTGTTGAGTCTTTCCCCAGGCTTTCATGGGAAAAATATTCTTCTAGAACTTCCCTCAGAAAGAATGGAGTTAAGCAAGTCTTTGAAAGCTCATATTAAAAATGCAAAGAATGGTAGAGTGAAGCTTCGTGTTACAGAAGAGGAAAGTGAGACAGCCCAAACAGTTTCATTGACTTGCCAAAGTCCCATAAATGGTCAGTGGCAGAGTGAGAACTAGAATGTACATTTCCTGTTAGTCATGCAGGCCCTGGGAGACACAAATGGTTACGTTTTCGACTATTTGCCAAAGGATTGGTGGTTGGAAATGACACCGAGACACCTTGGGACACAGCCCCCTTGACTTGCTTTGACACGGTACAGCCGTGAAAACCACCCTCTGCACAGATGTTGTGGCTGTTGACCAGTAGTGATTGGGTGCCAACTAATAACAACACAAGTCCTTCAACCAAATGCTCTCCCCGAAGCACTGTGCTAGCATTTGAAATATTGCCACGTGATACCCTGGTGTTTGGTATCTCAACAGCAATAGGAGTACAGATCATAAACCAAGACATTCACCCCCCCACCCCCACAGAAATATACGTGGACAATACATATATAAAATTATTCAGTTTCACTAGTAATCAAAAAAATCCTATTATTATAGGGTTTTAATAAATAAGTCCTATTATTTCCACAATTAAAAACTTTATTAATTTCCAATAGTGGTAAGAATTTACCGATAAAGGTAAAACTTTTATCAATGTATATCAACAACCTTAAAAATTTCTGTTCTTTAATTCAGTAATTCAACTTGCAGAAATGTATTAAGTGAAATAAGCAAAGGCGTATCTAAAAATTAATAACAACAATTTTTTGCAGTACTGTATATTATAATGAATAGTTAGAAGCAATGCCTATGTCCAAAAATGGTAATAGCTCCATCCCATAATGAAATACCAGAAGAAAGATGGAACTTTATACTCCTGTAAAGAGTTATAGTAAAAAAAAAAAAGAGTTATAGCCTCGGAAACTCACAGGGGAAATTCTACCCTGTCCGATAGGGTCACTATTTGTAATTATCAACTCAATGGCAGTGAGTTTGGTTTGGGGTTTATGTTAAAATACAAAATATTCATTATATATAAGCATATTTTTGAAGAATACCAAAATCTAGGAAATGCTTGTGATATATTAAATGCAAAACAAAACAAATTAACTAACAAGGGTAAATAACGTAAATGCACAGAACAAAAATTGCAGGATTGTTCATCTCAAAACATTGCAATGGAGTGAGATTAAAAAGTGGTTTGTTTTCCATTGTTATTTTTTGACTAATGAAATGCATTCCTCAAACTTCCCTTCATGAACATGATTTAAGTCTTCAGTGGGAAAACACATTTAAATGAATATTTTATTAAAAAGGAAAAATGTCTTTTAAAAGTGTTAACTTTTCATTGATTTCTAGGCATGTCCTGCATGTGATTCTTATGAGAAAAAACCACCCAAAGAATTCCTAGAAAATATGAAATCACTTCTTCAAAAGGTATCAAAATTTAAATTTCACTCTCTCTTTCATATTGATCTATAATGATCAGTTCCTATATTGAGGTTACTCATGGTCTGCTGTTTCCACAGATGATTCATCAGCATCTCTCCTAGAACCCATGGGATCATGATCGTTCCTGAGGATCTAACTTGAAGCTGGACACTAGATCATATACTCTAAAACAGTAATGAAACTCACTTCTGGCATTTCACATGGATGTACAATACAGTAGTGATAGGAAAAAACCTCAGATATCTGTTCAAAGTCAGAATTATTTCCCCCAAATTACTATATAATAGCTAGTGTGATCTACATGCTCTATGTTGTCTGGATAACTTGAAAACCTCAATTAGAGTCCGATTTCCTAAGTAATAGATTTTTGTGACTTGTAATGCTTTTACTTGGTCACACTGTCTGCCAATGACATTCTTAGTTGGGCACAAAGGTGAAATGTTTTAGCCAAAAATACAGTTTGGGAATTACCACAAAGACTCATTAATGAGGTCTATTATGATCAATGACAGAGTGGCTGCAACAATGGGCTCAAACTTAACAATGTGAGGCTGGCTCAGGACTAGGAGACGTTTTCTCTACTGTGCACAGGGTGATTATGAGTTGGCAGCGATTCGATAGCACCTAACAATAGCATCAACAGCATTATAATCATAACTCAAAAATGAAAGAATTTCATTCAAGCCTGCAAATACAGACACGGAGGTTCAAAATAAAATTTTCAGGTGTTTTTTTTAAAGAAACAAAAACTGAGTGTTGATACATATACATCTTCAATTTTGCTTTTTTATCCCAGCATATGTAACATATACAATTTGTAATTTATTTATACATGGCAGGATAGCTATTCTAGATATGAAAGTGTTTTCTTATTGAAATTTATTAAAATACTTAAATTCTATAGATGTGAATGTATTTGTGAAATAGACTCGTGTAGTTTCTTTATTTGAAAATGGGAATATGGTATCACTTAAGAAGTGAGTGTAATATTACCGCTTCCCAACTGCAAGTCCTCTTATAAGCTAGCGTTTTAAGTTTGTGGAAATGGCGATTCAGAGCTGTGGAGGGCTCTAGATCAGGTGGTCTTCTGGAGCCAAACAGAGGCAAACATGTTTGCAGCTCTCTTCTCAAACCACCAGGATTATCACTTGAGAGAGAGGCAGTAACTCCCCGTGTCTGTCGGTCTTCCTCTTTCTTTCTTCCTTTCAAACAAAACTTTTATGAAAAAGAAATTACTAAGTATGTTAAGCATTTTGGACACTTTGTATGTGGACAAAGAAAATCGGTTAGCTGCATAAATTCAAACTCAGGAGACAAAGCAATAGGCTAGAACTTCTGTCCCAGTGAAAAACAGACTTCTGCATAAAAGTGCCCATTTCTCAACTGTAGGCAGTGAAAGCAAGTAACTGCCATTTCATATTAATTCATATTAATTCCAGCCATGTTTCTTTAAATATGAAGTGAGAAAAACTCTAGAGAAAGAACAGTTTCACCAGAACATTATAAGCTATTTGAAAATCATTTATTTTTAACCTGGTCATCAGTATACAAGAGGATGTAGGATGAAAAAAACTTTATGCTCTGAGAAGAAAAATGACTTAAAAGTATTATAAAAACAAGAGGGATATAATTGATAGTTCTGAAAGATGTACTAAAAAGTAAATTACTTCCTCAAAAGTCAATGAAATGCTTTATCATCATAAACAAGGTACTATTTTAATATTAAATTATACAGTAATTTTTAAAAATATGTGCCAAATAATAGGGAGAGCAAACACTCTACTACCAGCCAAGAGGTTGGTGGTTCAAACCCACCCAGAGGTGCTTCAGGAGACAGACCTGGTAATTTGCTTCCAGAAAGTCTCAGTCCTGAAGACCCCATGGATCAGTTCTACTCTGCACACATGGGTTGCCACGAGTAAGAATCAACTCAAGAACCACTAACAACAACTCCAGCGATAACATGGGTCTAACGGCTACCTCCGTGGTGTGTGTTAAACAAGGCTGCTGCGCTAAAAGGAGAAAGTAGGCTCAAAGTGGTTTGGGGAAAGATGGAGTCCGTATTTCTTGTTTCTGTTGACTTCTTGGACTGTGTGATTTCATATTTACAATCCTGCATTTATTTTTGGTGTGTTACCGCTAGAAATCTCTGTTGTGGTCCTTTGCACTAAAGTAAGATAGAAAGATCTTAAAGGGAATGTTGGCTAAGAGCCTTCATTAATATGAGCTTAAAGACACGTGTGAAGACGTGATGTCCAAGATGGCTCCAGAGTCCCAAGGCAGGACATGAAGCTTCATCTTCCTTGTTTATGGTTCAAGATTTAGCTGGTTCATAAAAAAGAATATCTGAATTCTTGTTGTGAAATAGTAGTCAGTTGCTTAAACTTTTGTTTTTAAACTTAATTTCTAAAGTCTTATAGGAACATCTACCCATATTTCTGACTAAAACTTTCTGTTGAATCTGATGTGTTCAGTTGCTCAATATCATTTCAACAGCATTTGTAGCAAAAACTGCAGAAATCAGGAAAATGTTACACACACACACACACACACACACCCATTGTGAGAATTTAGCAAAAAAGTCTAATCATTATTTTTATTATTTTGCTGGTTGTGGTATCTATTTTGAACAGTTGTATATATTGTAGCATTACTTTTCTATATTATTGTGATATTATATTTACATTCCATATGAACTATGTACTTTATAACTTAATGATTATTTATTACATATTTGGTTTAAAATGTTTATGTGAATGGCTTTTTATTTAAGACCCAATTGTATTAAACAATACCGAGTCAGTACCATTGTCTTTTGTGATTCCCTGCCAACCTTTAATTCAATGGTCTCAGCAGAAAATGAGAGACCGTCCTTTTAGTTTCTGACAGCATAGAGTTCTTTATAAATCTACTGTCAGGTGAGCTGAGAGTAAACCCCAGCTTAGGAAACAGGGGTGTTCTTCATGTGGATGACTCTGTGCCGAAAGCATGGGGGACAGTACAAAAAAAAAAAATCCACTGCCAGGACTATCTTCTCTTCTCTTCTTGCTCTTACTGAAAGGGACCTTTCCACTCCCTGCTCCTACTATCAGGAGACCACTTCCTTTGCATGTCCAGAAGTTTCAATGATCTTTTCTAACCGCCGCTGCCACCCTTACTTGAATACATGTGGAAAACTCCCTCCTGCTTTGAAGTTTATCTCTAGATTCTCTGTCCTTTCCATTCTTGTCACTGACGGCTGTCATGCTCCATTTTCACTGAGGACGCTGCCATGCTATTGCCCTTAAATTCAACTTCTTCATCATCCTGGGTGACTTTAGGGCCCATGGGAAAGACTCTACCAACACCGCAGCCTACCGGACCCTTGACTTCCTTGCTTTCAAGTACCTTTATCTTTGTATGCCCTGACTGACCACTCTATGACTCAGATATTGTCATCTAGAACCATTCTTTTTCTGAAATCTTTATAAGTATAAAGTCACCACCTGCTAGTCCTATAACTCTTAATCCCACTTTCTCTACACCTGTTTTGAGAGTCTATCACAATAGCCAGGCCTTTTCTTCTCATTTTCTCCATTTGTTATCTACCTCCCCCACTCCATTGAGCTGGAGCCTCTGATCAATCCTTTTAACTACACACCCCACTGCATAATCTCCTTCTGCCTGTCCTGCTTGAGAACTTCTCAACCACGGCCCTACCCCACTGTCCTGCTTCTTGTCTCCTGATCCCGTTTCAGACTTTCGCTCTAGTTCCTTTTGTCTGCAGACTTTCTTAGACTGCCCCCTCAGACTTCCTGGTATCACTTTCCCTCTTTGTTTGCAACGCTGAGAATTCATCTGATTTCAACATCTATTTCAAATGTGGATAAGAGCCCCCCACCTGCTCCATCATCTGCAGTCCACAAGCCCGCCCACCCGGAAAAAGGTCTCACCATCATTTGGAGGAGCGGAATGTGGATAGTCAGAGTGAAGCGCTTTGAAAGAAGGGTCTGGGTCTACATTCCAGCACTTCCGATTCACACATCAAATCACTGTCTTCTGATTTCTATGCATACCACATCCAATGACTGCGTCACTAAAATTGCTCATTGTCTGCTCAACAATGATGTTTTAATTACTCAACTCACAAAGGTGTCTAAATCCTTCCCTAACTTGATCTGATCGTGGCTTGTGCTGCCCTTGACCACCCTCTTCCTTTCCCTTTTGACTTTGGAGGGTGATGTGCATTTCCTGACTGACCTCTCAGACCAGACATTCTCAGTAGGAGTCCTCACTGGGCCCCTTTCCTTCTCCTTTCACTTACATCTGATATGCCCAAGGGTTCTGTCCCTGATGTCATTTTCCCTCCACAACTGACTAGGCACCCATTGTTCTGAACACCCCTGATAGGATATTGACCGCCAAATCTACAGCTAGACCTCTGCAAATTCTCAGGCCCATGTATCCAACTTCCTTTTGCAGATCTATATCTGTATCTCCCAGATTGTTCACCTCAATGTGTCCAGATTGCTTTCAACATTTCTTTGTCAATAGCTCTTTGTCCAGAGCTCCATATTATTACTTCACTCATCTTTCAGTTTGTCCTATTGTGGTGGCTTGCTGTGATGCTGGAAGCGATGCCACTGGTATTTCAAACACTAACAGGGTCACCCATGGTGAACAGTTTTCACTGGAACTTTCTGACTAAGAAGAAAGTAAGAAGTAAAAGGCGGCCCACTTCTGAAAAATGCGCCACTGAAAACCTTCTGAGTAGCAGAACATGACTGGTATAAAGACAGAAGATGAGGCCATGGGTTGGAAAGCACTCAAAATATGACTGTGTAAGAGACGTCTTCTCAAAATAGAGTCAACCTTAATCATGTGCATGGAACAAACCTTTTGGAGCTCTCACTTGCTGATAGAGCTTGACTCAAAAGGAGAAGAAACAGTTGCAAACATTTGTTAACAATTATAACATGGAATGTACAAAGTAGGAATGTAGGCACGTTGTGAATCATCAAAAATGAAATAGAATGCATACAGATTGATATACTATCAATTAGAGAGCTGAAAGGCTATTTTGAATCAGATAATCATATGCTTACGGTGTCAGATATGGCGAGTGAAGAAGAATGGTATCACAATCATCCTTACAAAGAACATGTCAACATCTCTCCCCAAGTCCAACTTTGCCTGGGGTAGAATAATACACACACACTTACAAGGAACCCTTGTAATATAAAATAATACATGCACACTTACAAGGAGCCCCAGTCAATATAATTATCATTCAAACCACTAAAGTCATTGATGAAGAAGATGAAGAATTCTACCTACTTTTTCAGTTTGAAATTGATCCAACATCTAATAGGAAATATTGGTACTTACTGGTGATTGAAATGCAAACGTTGGAAACGAAAGATGAAGGATCAGTAGCTGAAAAATATAGTCTTGGTGATGGAGACAAACCTGGAGATGGTATGATGGAATTTTGCAAGGCCAATAATTTCTTCATTGCAAATACTTTTACTCAACAACCTAAACAGTGACTATACACACGGACCTCATCAAATGATTACACAGAAATTAAATTGAGTGCATTTGTGGAAAGAAATCATGGAGAAGCTCAATATCATCAGTCAAGGTAAGGCCAGAGGCCAGCTGTGAAACAGATTCCAATTATTCATTTGCAAGTTGGGCTTTAAGCAGAAGAAAGGGAACATAAGCCCAAAGGAGCCAAAATATGACCTTAAATGTATCCCACCTGAATTCAGAGACCATCTCAAGAAGATTATTGATGTACTGAACACTAGTGACAGAAGACCAGAGGAATTATGGATAGCATCAAGAATACCATGCATGAAAAGGCAAAAAACCACTAAAAAGTCAGGGAAGAAAGAAAAGATCCAAGTAGACATTGGAAGAGTCTCTGAAACATGCTCTTGAATGTAGAAAAACTAAACCAAATGGAACAAATTGTGAAGTAAAAGAGCTAAATAGAAAATTTCAAAAGGCAGCTCAAGAAGAGGGAGTAGAGTATTATAATGAAATATATAAAGTCCTGTAATTAGAAGACCAAATGGAAAAACACACTCACACTTTCGCAAGATGAAAGAAAGGAAGAAAAATCCAAGTCCTGAGTTACTATACTGTAGGATTCTATGGGTTAAATAGAGAATGTGGAGGACGCATGAAGGATGGAAGGAAAACACAGAGTCACTATACCAAAAAGAATTGGTCAATATTCACTCATTTCAAGAGAGAGTATGTGATCAAGAATGGATGATATTGAAAGAAACATCTGAGCTTCTCTGAAGACATTCATAAAAAGCAAGGCTCCAGGAGCTGACAGACTACCAACTGAAATGTTTCAAAAAAACTAACACAGTGCTGGAAGCACTTTTCAGTCTATGCCACGGAAATTGAAAGACAGCTACCAGGCCAACTGACAGGAAGAGATTAATATTTTTGTTCATGCCAAAGAAAAGTGACACAAAAATATAGAAATCATCAAATAGTATCATTAATATCACATGAAAATAAAATTTTGCTGAAGATATAAAAATGCTTGCAGCAGTACATTGATAGAGAGCTGCCAAAGAGTCAAGTAGGATTTTGGAGAGACCTGCGGCAAGGCATACCATTGCTGACATCCAATGGATCTTGCTTGTGAATAGAGAACACCAGAAAGAGAGTTACTTGTGTTTTGCTGACTATCGAAAGGCATAAATAATTATGGATAACATTAAAAAAATGGGGATTCCAGAATATTTCATTGTGTTCAGGTGAAACCTGTACACAGATTAAGAGACAATCGCTTGAACACAACGGAAAGGTTGTGTATGCAAAGGAAAGGTATGCATCAGGGTTGTATCCTATCACCTTCTTATTCAATCTATATGCTGAGGAAATAATTCTAGAGGCTGAACTGTATAAAGAAGAGTCTGACATTGGAGAATGGTTCATTAACAACCAGTAATATGAGGATAAAAGAATCTTGCTGAAATCCAGGAATATTTGAAGCACTTATTGATGGACATCAAAGAATGCAATAGTCAGTATGGTTTGCAACAATGTCAAGAAAACAAAGATCTTCATAACGGAACCAATAAACATCATGATGAACAGAGGGGGGAAAGGAAGTTGCGAAGGGCTCATTTTACTTAGATCCACTGTTAATGCTCATGGAAGCAGCAATCACGAAGTCACAGGACATATTGTATAGGACAAATCTGCTACACAAGACTCCTTTAAAATGTAAAGGTATCACGTTGAGGACTAAGGTGTATGTGATACAAGCCATAGTATTTGTCATAAAAGAAATGATGCATCTGAATTATGATGTAGGTCAAGGATATGGAACGTACCATGGGTTTCCAGAAGAACAAACAAATCTGTCTTGGAGAAAGTACAGCCAGATGCTTCTTAGAAACAAAAATTGGGAGACTTTGTTGCATGTATTGTGGACATCCTATCAGGAGAGACCTGTGCCTGGCAAAGGACATCAAGCTTGGTAAAATAGAAGTTCCTCAAAACAGAGGAAGACGTCTCCCTTCACCCACTTTTTTGTTGTCCGTCCCCTAGAGAGGAGGTTATATGGAGATCCTTGAGATATCGGGCAGTGTAAGATATGACAAAATAATAGTAATTTCTAAATTATCAAGGGTTCATGAGGGAGAGGGAAGCAGGGAGGGAGGGGATAAAATGAGGAGCTGATACCAAGGGCTCAAGTAGAAAGCAAATGCTTTGAAAATGATGATGGCAACAAATGTGCAAATGTGCTGGACACAATGGATGGATGTATGGATTGTGAGAAGTGTTGTACAAGTCCCCAATAAAATGATTTTAAAAAAAGAGGAAGGCTGACTGTCAATGAACTGGATTGATAAGGTGTTGGCAAAATGTGTTCAATCACCACACAGCTTTATAGAAGGTGTAGGACCAGTGTTTCATTCTGTTGTGCATGGGATTGTTATGAGTCGGAGCTGAGTTGATGACACCTATTATTAACAATAACAACCC